GTCTATGGGGCTTCCATGACCTTTCCTTGTACAGGTTGTGCCAGTTTCCCCTGTATTGTGTACTGTCTCACCCTTCACCCAAGATACCACTTATCATCCCCCCCCCACCCCTCCCATCCCTGGTAACCAACAAAGATGGTTACATTTTGCGTGTGAACTCTTTCATGGGTTTTTACAATAGAGGTCTCATACCATCACCACCAATTTTTATAACATTTTCATCACCTCAAAAGTAAATCCTATACCCATTAACAGTCATTCCCCATTAACTCCTGCCAACTCCCCACCCCCTAGCCCTAGGCAACCTCTAATATACTTCCTGTCTCTATGGAGTTGCCTTTTCTGGACATTTCATATAAATGAAATCATACAATATATGTCCTTTTATGATTGGCTTTGTTCACTTAACAATGTTTTCAGGGTTCATCTATGTTGTAGCATGTATCAGGACATTGTCCATTTTTACTGCTAAATAATATTCCATTGATCATTGTACTTTTAACAAAACCTCAAATCCCAGGATTCAGCTCTCTTTTTTTTAAGCTCTGTCTTTATATTCTGGGGATGGTCTATCCTCTAGTCCTTGCCTTTCCTTCCCCTCTGCCATAGTTGCATAAGCAGTCAATTTTTTAATTAGGTAGAAATAGACAAACTGGACTGGTAAAAGCTACTCAAAAATTTCTCTGTGGACCTTGGACTGTTCCATGTCTGTGCTTCTCCCAGGAAGCCTAGCCCTGACAGAGTTCCAGAGGGGATACTGCCCCTGCTCCCAGGGTGAGGGGCTGTGTCTGAAATAGCAGGCTAAGTCCTAAGAAGAAACTTCTGGTAAGGAGCTAAGAAGGAAATGAACCACCATCTCTTCTTGCTCAGGAGAAATCACAGATACAGAAGGATCTGTGGAGGATTGAAGATGTCATTGCAGGCCTGAGTGCAAATAAAGAGAACTTCAGAATCCTGGTGGAATCGGTCAAAAATCCGGGTGAGTGGCCCATCTGCCTGGGTGTGGCTGCTGTGCCTTTGGTGGAAGGAGGGGTGGGTTGGGGGCCAGGACTCGGGTGGATAGGATAGCCCTTGAGGGGGGTTGGCTTTGGGAAATTGAGTCTGTCTGGTACTAAGTCACTCCACTTGTCCTCCATGGAAAAAGGTCTTTGTTCCATCTTATGCTTTTTTGCCTTTCGTGTCCCTTAGAGAGAAAAACAGTGCCTTTATTTCCTCACCCGCCTGTGCCTTCACTCTCACCTTCTGAGAGCAAGCCGTCCCTGCAGTCCAGCCCTCCGACCAGCCCTGTGCGGACCCCCCTGGAGGTTCGACTCTTCCCCCAGCTGCAAACCTACATGCCATACCGACCTCACCCACCCCAGCTGAGGAAAGTGATGTCCCCCCTTCAGTCACCAACCAAGACGAAGCCCAAAGTTGTAAGTTTTGAAGTCCGGGAGCTGAGCAGCTTCTCTCTGGCAGATGCTTGTCTCTTTCAGTTCTAAGATCACCTTCTCTTGGGAAAGAAACTCTCAGGGAAATAGAACCAGGCAGAGTCCTAAGGGAGTCCTGAGCCCTGAGGAGTTAATGAGTAGTATTTACCCTGCCATCTGCCTCTGACTCTCGAGTTGGAAGAGATGACCTAGCCCAACCCTCCCATTATGTAGTTGGGAAGAGTGAGGCCAACAAGAGGAAGTGATTGTGCTAAATAAGAGTGGAATTTGTGATCTACACCATGAAGAGAAGTGTGTGGTTGTTGGTGGGGCTGCTCCTATGCAGGGCTCTGTGCAAACCTGTAGAGGGCTTTCCCTGCAGTTATACAAGCCTGTGGGTGATAAGCTCATCCCAACCCAAGACCATCCTTATCTTCATCTGTAGTTGAGCACTGTGCCCTTGTAAGGATGCACATGATCATCACAATAACCTCATAGAGTACAGATAGGAAGAACAGTATCCCCATCTTACAGATAAGAAAACTAAGGCCCAAATATATTGAAATTTGCTTAAGGTCTCCCTGTTAGTGTAGCCAACTCACGCCTCCTGACCATGCTGTTTATTCCGTGCCATCTGTCACCTAATTGGCCATTCAGGTCCTCTGGTCAGGTCTGTGGCCTATAGTGTTGACTGGGCAAATGCCTTGACTTGCCTGGCATAGAGATGAGTCAAGCCCTGGGCAGAGTCTGGGAACACAGGAGATTTAAAGGAAGTAGAAGATTTGGTTGGTTGATAAAGTGAGAGCTCTTGCCTTTAGGACCAGTTCATCCTTGGCTGAAAAACACAGGGTTTGGGGAAGGGTGATGGTCCCAGTGGCAGGGAAGCTATAGCAGATGGGGCCTTGGAATGGAGGCCTCCAGGTTTTTGCCAACAAAGACTTGGAGAAGCCTTGCTTAAGGCTACCCAAATGGTGTGCCTAGGACCTCTTATGGGGTCAGTGCACAGAGCTGGGTAAACCACATGAGTTCCTGTACTGGGGCCATCACCATCCACCTGCTTCCAGCAAGGCCCAGAACTGCCAGACACTTGTCAGGACCCTGGGTGTGCTCCATGACCCAGCCAGAGCGTCACTGTCAATTTCTTCATCTTGAGATGTCCTTTCCAACCCCAGATCTAGGAGGCAGACTGGAGCCCCAGCCATAGGACAGGAGGTAGAAAATAAAACAAACAGCATGAATGTTGGAGTCAGGTGGCTGATTACATAAGGCGGGATGCTTGCTGGCTAGGCGAGGAACAGATAGAAAAGGTGCTAGCCGGGGAGCTGGAATGCCTGGATTCCAGTCCTGTTCTCTCACTGTGTTCTCGGGCAAGTCCATCCCCTTTCTGAGCCTCCTCAGTTTTCTCTTGTGGAGAACAAGCAACTTGGAATCAATGACCACAAAGGTTCCTCCTCACAGCTTGGTCTTCTGTCGCTCTATGGCAGGGTTTTTCCAACTTGGTTGAGCATCAGGGTCCCCAGGGGGCCTTCTTTCCTGTCGTTCCAGTAAAGTATGTGTGCTTACCAATTTTACCAGTTTTGTTGTTTGCTTGTTTTTGTGGTAAAGTATATATAACACAAAATTTGCTACTTTAACCATTTTTAAATACACAATTCAGTGGCATTAATCACATTCCCAGTGTTGTGCAGCCATCACCAGCCCTAAGCAAGGCTTCTCTAAGCCTTTGTTGGCAAATACCTGGAGGCCCCCATTCCAAGGTCCCATCTACTATAGCGTCCCTGCCACTTGGACCAGCCCCTCTCTCCAAACCCTGTGTTCTTCAGCCAAGGATGGCCTGGTCTTGAAGGCAAACCCTTCCATCACTCCAGACATAAACTTTGTACCCATTATCAACAAATCCTCATTCTCCCTTCCTTCAGCCCCTGGTAACCACTAAATCTGCTTTCTATGTCCATGAATTCACCCATCCTAGGCATTTTACATAATTCGAATCATACACTATTTGTTCCTTTCTGTCTGGCTCATTTCACCTAGCATGATGTTTTTGAGGCTCATCCATGTCGCCTGTTTGCTTGTTTTTTACATTTATATTTGTGAAACAATAATATCCATCCTGAATTATTATGTAAAATATGAGTTTATAATTTAACAAGTAATTACAAAGGGACTAACATGTTATACCACTACCCAGACCAAGAAATAGAACTTTGCCAGCAGCTCTCAGGCCTGTGGGTCCCTTCCCTGTCTATGCCATTCCCTTTCCTCCGGTGGTAGCCACTACCTTGACTTTTTGGGTAATAGTTTCCTTGCTTTTCCTTATGGTTTTACTGCCTATGTTTGCATCCGTAAACGCTTTCATTTAATTTTGCCTGTATATAATGTTTTATCTATTCTTTTGCATCTGACATCTTTTCTTCAGTATTTATTTGTGAGATCCATCTACATTGTTACAGGTAGCTATGGTTCTTTCATTTTTATTAGGCTTGTTTTCTTGAATTTAATGTCATTTTTAAAAAGTAAATAATATTCTCAAAGGGTACAAAAACAGAAGATATACAAAATAATAAAAGGTCTTCCTCCCACCTTCATTCTCCAGATATCCTGTTCTTGTTAACCAAAGGCAAAAAGAGTTTTATATTTCTCTTTCTAGGGAGGTTTTAGAAATTGGTGGCTCTGTGGTCTTACCAGGATTGGAAACCACTGATCTTGGAGGACCTCTGGGTATCTTGGGCAGGCAGCTTAACTTACACACATTAATGGAATGTGTTGCTTTAAAAGAATGGGGATAAATCTTCACAAAGCACGCTTGGAGCATCCTTTCTTAAGTGCTGCAATATTTTGAAAAACAAAGCGAAATTAGACTAAGAAAGGGGGAGTTCAGGAGGAGGAAGGGTGCCACGGTCACTGTAGTCTGTAGGAGTGGGTGTTCATGGCAGTCAGGGGCCAGTATGTTGATATGTGGAGGAACCCACAGCCCTCGGAAAGCATTGTAGATGGGGGTTTCAAGGAAAATAGTTATATTCATTCCAGCCCAGGGAGTAGGCTGCTGTGTAGACAGTGAGTCACTCATCCCACAAGCTTTTCAATCAATGAGTCATGAAGAATCAAATACTTTGCAACTGTGCACATTTTGATAGAAAGGGCAGGAGGACACAGACTCTGTCCTTGCTCAGATCCCCAACCTGCTGAAGAATCCAGAGTTTGTGCAGGCACAAGGAGCCTGCTCAGTCTAGCACTGTGGAGTAGGCAAGATGTTTGTTCTCTAGTGGGAGTGCTGCCACAAACTTAGAAGGAAGCACAGAGTTACCAGTGGAGTAAGCAGTTTGACACGGGGCCAAGAGCACTGGCCCCAGGAGACCTGAGTTCTGGAATTGGGGACACAATACATACAGGTAACGCTGAAAAGTAGAAAATATGTGAATCACAGGGAACCATGGGGATGGGGCAGAGACATCCCTCCCCTTCACATTTCAACCAGGAGAAATGATAATGCCCCTTGGCCGAGTGGTCATGCTCTGTGCCTCCGAGGTGGCCTGATATGGTCCTTTGGGCCACCACTGTGGCGGTGACACTGTCAACAGCGCCCCCCCCCCCCTCATCAGACACTGGTTCTGGTTCTTTTTCTGAGCAGGAAGACGAGGCACCTCCCAGGCCCCCTCTACCCGAACTCTACAGCCCAGAGGACCAGCCCCCGGCTGTGCCGCCTCTGCCAAGGGAGGCCACCATCATCCGGCACACTTCTGTAAGGGGCCTCAAGAGACAGTCGGACGAAAGGAAGCGAGACCGGGAGCTCGGCCAGTGTGTGAACGGGGACTCAAAGGTGAGCAGGGAGGGTCCTTGGGGTTGCCCCACTGTGTGTAGCAGGAGGAAAGGTGATGTGGGGCCTGTGTCATACTTGCCCTGGGCAGGTGTGACAGCCTCGGACTGTCCCACAGGTGGAACTCCGATCGTACGTTAGTGAGCCTGAGCTGGCGACCCTCAGCGGGGACACGGCCCAGCCCTCCCTTGGACTTGTGGGCCCTCAGAGCAGGTACCAGACGCTGCCAGGTAGAGGTAAGGCAAGACCCTCCATGGAGTCTTTACAGGAACCCCTGCCATCCCTCACTGGTACCTCATACTCTTCTGCTTGCAGCTTTGGGGCTAGATTCGGGCAGCAGCTGTCAGGAGGCCCTGAGCTGCTGCTGCTTCCTTTAGCCCACATCCTGATTCTCTACCTCTTGTTTTATATCTATCCTAGAAACGGTAATAATAGCAGTTACTATAGAGCCAGGCACTGTGTGACCTTAATGCTCACAGCAATCCTGTGAGGGAAGTATTGTTAGTATTTCATTTTAGAAATAAGGAAACTAAGGCTCAGAGAAAGTAAATTTGATAAGTGATGGAGCCAGAATATAGTCTCAGTGTTCTGGCTCCAGAGTCCATGCTGCTAGCCACTGTCCCCTGTGGGCCGGGATGTTGGGTGGCTGCCATCAGCTTGGCCATCCTGGACCTTCCTGAGGATTTCTTCCCTCTTCTGTGTCATCCTAAGACTCAGTGAGACCTTACTTTAAATAAACACTCTCTCTTCAATTGGGCCTCATTCTCATTGCCCTTCCCTGACCCTTCGAGATGGGGATAGGAACAAACTTAGGCCCTGCTCATCTCTGATTTTCCAAGGAGCCAGATGCTCGTCCTCAGAAATTCCCTAAAGGGGAGGCCTCCTGACCTGTCTGCACCTGGGTCTCGTGGGACCCCTGAGCAGGCCGGCAGCTCTCCCTCACCTCTTCTCTCTTAATCTTCCTGTGTGCTCTTAGAGGTGGAAGATCAAGCGCTCTTCTCTTGTTAGCCTGCCCAGGAAGCAGAAGGGCACACAGAAGTGGTTATGACACCTGCAAGATATGTGACTTCTAGCCTACCACATTGTCTTAGTGGCCTGTGGCCTGAGCTGGCCCCTGGGAGGGTGTGGACTCTTAAGTTTTGCTGAGTTGGGGCGACAGCAGCACTTGGCACTATGCCCTGCGGCCCTTTTCCCTTCGTTCTCTACGGCCAAGCAGTGTTTATCACTAGAGGTGGTAGTGGCATTTGGGGCAGGACCATTCTTGGTCGTCCTGGATTCTTTGGGCATTGCAGGCCATGTATCATTCGTTTTTCTCATGTATTAAATGCCAGTGGTGTCCTCAGTCAGTGTGATGTCCATTTCCAGATGTTTAGGTACCACCCCAGTAAGAATCACTGCTGGTGGAGAGGCACAGGCTTTGGGGTCAGGCCAACCAGGGTGAGATAATGCTTCTAAACCATAGGACCCAGAACATGGTAAACGCATGATCAACAGTGCTCTTAGCTGTGTGACATCAGACAAGTTCCTTAACTTCTCTGACCCTTAGATTACACATCTTTACAGTGATCAGGTAATGCCTACTTTGTAGGGCTATTGTGACAAAGTCTATAAAAAATACCTAGCACAGTGCCTGCCTGTTACATAGTAAGTGCTCAGTAAATGCTTGATACCTTCTTTCTCTTCATTCATTTATTCATTCTTTTAGTCAGTCAACCAAGAGTTGTAGAATTTATAATCTAGTTAGGGCAACAGGTATGTTGACACTGTGGTCACTGCAGTATTCAATGAATATGATGTGGGTTATAGGGGATAACTAATTCTGCCTGGGGCATCTGAAAGGCTTCACCAAGGTGGAATATTTGAGTTAGGTTGTGAAGCGTATATTTAAGAGTTCATCAGAAAGAAGAGGGATGAAAGGCATTCCTACCCCTTCTTCCTTTCTACCTGCCAAGCAGCCCAGGTCTTCTGCATGTGAGGGAAGCTTAGTGTAGCCCATTGGTCTATTGGGATGCCGTCCCCCTTGGGGGCAGTTGGCACTCCTGGGCTAGTCCCCCCATCCTGCACCCTGACAGCCTTACTCTTCCAGTCCCTGGGAAGGAAGAGGAGACAGAAGAGTGGGTCATTGGCTGGGAGCTCTTGATCACCCTCATGGGAATGGGAGGTTATTAGGAAGGGCCAAAGCCTGTCCACCCTACCATGAACACACTCACATTTCTGTTTTTCCTAAGGGCTCTCAGGATCCACATCAAGTCTCCAGCAGTCATCCAGCATTGCTCCCTATGTTACGCTGCGTAGGGGTCTAAATGCCGAAAGCATCAAGATGACCTTCCCTGTGAGTGGCCTTGAGAAGTTTTTTAGTTCCCTGTTGCTGCCTCATGTGCGGAGGGAAGGGGCTCTGAGGTGGACGGTGATTGGTGAACCTGTGAGCTCAGGGGTCCCCCTGCCACCATGTGCTCAGTGATGCCTTCCACACTGCCCACCAAAAAGGGCAGGGCCTGCTTGGAGCAGCATCAGACTTCCCTCTGCATTTCCCAGGGATCACCCACCTTTCTCTCCAGCCTGTCAGGGTCATGGGAGGGAGCGCCAGAAGTCTGTACCTTGGGTCATGGCCCATCACATGCTGCATGTGAGCCTGACTGAACAGGCCTAGACCTCAGTGACTGCATCTGCAGGATAGGGTGCTTCCCAGAGGGTGGGGTGCAGCCCAGTGTGGGCTGTGTGCATCATGTCCATGAGCGTGCTTAGAAGAAGTGGTTCTTGATGGCAAGAGGGGCTCAGCTAGAGTGTGTGTGGGGATGTGTATGTGGGGGTGGGCGTGTATGGCGAGGGGAACGGGAATGAGACCAGCAGGGTGGCTGCCCTCTGTGTTCCCAGCCCAGCTGCTCTATCTGTAACTTGCCCTCCCCCCTCGGCAGAGACCCAAGAGTGCCTTGGAGCGCCTGTACTCAGGGGACCACCAGCGGGGCAAGATGAGCGCGGAGGAGCAGCTCGAGCGCATGAAGCGGCACCAGAAGGCCCTGGTCCGTGAGCGCAAGAAGACTCTCAGCCAAGGAGAGAGGATGGGCCTCCCTTCGTCCCGCTACCTCAGCCAACCTCTCCCTGGAGATCTTGGCTCAGTATGTTAGGGTCCAGGCAGGCGGGGCTGGGAGAAGGAACAGAGCTTCCCCTCAAGCTGAGCAGGGCTTCCCCGATTCCCCCAGACAGAAGCATGTCCCACTCCCTGGGAGAGTGGGCTGTTGACCTAGTGGTTCAGAGCACATCCCATGGGGCTGTTTGCCCATGGCCTGGGCTGTGTATGTGACCTGGTCAGAGAGTGACCCAGACAGAGCAGGAGAGAGGATGTCACAGCAGGAGTCGAGAAGCCCAAGAAAGTATCCAAAGCCAGTCTTCCGAGCTGAGTTTGAGAGGGGCCTTTGCAGGCATTCAAAATCTCAGCTGAATCAAGGACCTGGGAATATAGAGTTTGAGGAGTGGAGGAGGAGGATGGTGATATGATTTGATAAGGTGGAACGTAAGCAAACCAACCAGCCTTCCAAACCTCCAAGCCAATGCCCTGTGGGGGTTACTGGGCATGACTGGTGTCCCACAACCCTGAGGGCTGGTGGTCTCCCACAGCTTGTGGTGCTAAGAGGCCTCATGGTGCCCCCAGAGAGCTGGGGAATCTGTGCTTCCCTCTGGTGGCGCTGCCCAGCACTGTGCCCTGCCCACAGTCACCTTAGGTCCCTTTTGGAAACATTCCGTTTGACTTTTCCCTGTTGTTTGAAATCTCACGTTTCCCTAGCTCTCTAGCCTAACTGTTCTTTCCCTAATTCATTGCACAAGCTCTCTTGCTTTTAGTGTTGTTGCTCATTGCCCCTCTAATCCTGCCTGATTGTGTTTACAGAAGCTTCTAATTTGCATTGAACATTCTCTAACTGGCCTGTGCTCTTTGTTACCAGGCTTGTAATAGCCGCTCTTGTCTTAATAGCTTAGTAAGCACCCCCAGATGTGACTCACCTTTCCGCTGCCCCCATCCATGCAGGCCTACTGACTTAAAATTCACTTGTCCCGATCACCGCCTGGCAAAGCTGAGCCGACCCGCTGCCTGAGGACCATGGTCGTTGGCAGAGGTTTGGGCATTAAGAATTTATCTGAGTCCATCCTTTGCACCTGGACAGTAGACGTGGACTTTGGAGACTGTACATTTGAATAAGTTTTACCAAGTCTGAGGTGGTTCAGTTCCAATTCCTGTGGTCCCATTGCACAATTTCTTATGGAAAACTTTTGTGTTTCTGGTACTTAATAACTTGAATGGAAAGCAAAATATGCTATGTTCTGTATTCAGAGGGGTTCTCTGCAGCTGTTAGCTCAGACACCAAAGGGGTAAGACCCAAGACACTTATACCCTTAAAGCTGCAAACCTGGTAACTTTTAAACTTTATAAGAAAATGTCATATGGGGTAACACTGACCTTTTACAACTTGATGTCTCAAAAGTAGAAAGATTATCTAAAAATTATAATTTCTATACCTTGTAATTTTTCTCTTTAAAAACAGACTGGTGTAAGTCTCTGCATCAACGCCAATAAATGTGTTGCTTGATCAGAATGGATTGGCGTGGTTCTTCCCCAGGATACATCATAAAGTCTAGTGATCCTTTGCTGTTTGTGTAAACGATCAGGCTGGGCTAAAACGAGCCCTTGTCTCTATTTGGGGCACTTGTGAGCATGTAAGAAAATGTTTGTTTTCTTTGTGAATCATTAAATTAATTTTTATCTCTGGAACTTCATTTGCCTAATCCTTTCAAACTGTAATTGGAAATCATCAGCTAAGAGCAATTACATTGGTCTGGAGTTGGTACTGAGAGCTTGTGCATGAATGGGTGAAATGTCTGTTATGGCTATGGGCTTAGGGTTTATGGGGTTTTGAGGGATCCTCAAAGACAACTGTGACTGTTTGGGGCTCCATGAGGTGAATGAAGTGGGAAAGAGGCAGCTACCTGGGATGGATAATCATCCCCCCCTGTGCATATGCTTTGCTTCTGCTCAGAAAAAGAGAGGCTTTGAGCCTGTTCCCTATCTTTCTCCAACCTATTCCATGTCGAAGGCCTCTGAGGATGCAGGCCACAGGTGGATAGGAAGGCCTCTGGGAAGCAAGACCCTCGTGCTTGAGCCTTAAAGTGGTTGGGTTAGATTTTTCCTCTTGTAAAGAGATGCTTATTACAAAGTCAGTTCTGCCAAATAATCCTGGGAAAGTTGTATTTGATTTATCATCTCAATTTTAAATTTTTTAAATTTATTTTTAATTAAAGGAAAATATCTACCCCAAATAGATGCTGTCTTACACAGCACCTTATCTGCCTCACTAGCCCCACAGTGTTCCCACTTCACCGTCCCCAGCCCTGCTGCGGGTATACACATCACCCTAACTGTGTCCTGTATCTGCTAATGAGGGGCTCTTGGTTATTCCACTTGCTTAACAGGGCCTCTGAGGACTTGTTTTCTCCATTATTTCTCAGCCTGGGCCATGTGGCTCCTGAACTAGAAAGCCTTCCCCGAGCTGTGGGGCAGCAGAAGGGGTGATTCCCTTCTTGGGAGCGCTGCCCTAGATTCTGTTTTGGGTTCACTCTCTCAGACCGGAAGAGCCTTCTACATCCTTGGGAACCATTGTGAACCGTATGCCCTGGGTCTTAGACCTTTGCCCTGGGGTTGCATATTTGAACCCTCGGGGGCCAGGTCAGAGAGAAAGCAGTGGTCCGGAAACAGACCATATGAAGGGGATGGAGGCCTCCTCTGTTAAACAAGGAGTTACAGCTCACAGGAGGGACCGTCCGTCACGAAACTGTCTTGTTTTAGAGGCAAGGAGGTTGAGGTCCAGACCTGCCTTCTCAGGACCTGCGAGGACTGTCCCAAAGGGACCTGGTGTGGCTCTTTCAGCAGTCAGGAAGTGACTGCTCTTAACCCTGTTGTTCTGTTGCCAGTGGAAACGCGAGCAGGACTTTGACCTACAGTTGCTGGAACGGGCCATGCAAGGGGAAAGAAAGGACAAGGAGGAGAATGGCTGGTTGAAAGTGCAGGCCATGCCCGTCACCGAGTTGGACCTGGAGCCGCAAGACTATGATTTGGACATCAGCAGAGAGGTGAGGCAGGAGCTACCTTCATGCCACCCCAGGAGGCACGACCTTCAGGCTGGCAGCCTGACCAACCGTCCCAGTGGCACTGTGGAGTGTTGTCCTGAATGGGGGCAAGGCTAAGCCTCAGTGTGGTCCAGGAGAATGGATGGGTAGCAGCTTGAGGCAATAAAAGCAATCCAGGCTTTTTGATACAGGTTCAAATCTTTTTCTCTCTCTCTATTTTGGGGCAAGTCATTTAACTCTTCTGTGCCGCTGTTTTCTCAACAATAAAGTGGGTCGGGAGGATCAAGTAACTTAGTATGTTGCTGGGAGGATTAACAATGATCAGAAAGCCATGAACACAGGGCCTGGCACATGATAGGTAGATGATGTAGTCATTGTTATTGTTGGGAAATGTTGCCTGGAAAACCAAAGGTTGGCCTTTCAACTGACCACTCAGGATGACTTGGACAATTAGACTTAGGGTGGTGAAGGGCAGGTTTGAAAACCACCAGCGAAATTTCTAGCCATGACTGGGGCTAAGAGATGGTGCATAGTTCTGGTCTGAATTCTTCGGGTGCCCTCTGGTGGCTAACATGCATCATAACAGGTCAGGCCTGGGAAAGCTGGTAGCCCCTGAATCTTTGCGCATTCAGGAATATTGCTACCCAAGGGAAGAGAAAGGGGACTTAGGGGGTGACAGACTCAGGGCCCTCAAGACATAGGGTGGTCTTCTGTAGTCTATATTGTGTCATTTGTAAGTTCTGGAGGGCAGAGTCTGTAGCTATTTGGTTCACCTTTGTACCCTTAGTACTGGCACAGGGCCTGGCACACAGCAGGTGCTCCATCAATACTTGCTGAATGAAGAGTGTGCTCAGTGAATT